CTCATTACATTAGGTATATCTCCTAATGCTATCCCTCCTCCCCCTCCCTCCCTCCCTTCTCCCTCAAATAGGCCCTGGTTTGTGTTGCCCTCTTCCATATGTCAAATCCCACCTATGAGTGAGGAACAGCGGTGTTGGTTTTCTTCTATTTTATATATGTTTTCTCAGCTCGTTCCTATGTGTTCTTTATCAATTATATATCATTATAAATTCCTTTTCCTTTTTTATGTGTATATATTTTCCATGTTTTTTATTATGTCTCACATTCTTAATTCCATATCGCACTGATTGTATTCATTTTGGTTGATCCAAGTCTTCTAAAGTCCCAGGAAAGCGGAGCCACCAAAAATCAAATTAATTATATCCTTCTTCTGATGAATCTTCACATAAAAATATAAATTATCATCCTATTTTTATCCCCTGCCATTAATGAATTAGACTACTTGTAGTGTATTTAGTTTGTTTTCTGTTGCTATAATAAAATGCCTGGATCTGGGTAATTTATAAAGGAAAGAGGTTTATTTAGCTTATGGTTCTGGAAGCTGGGAAGTTCAAGACCTGGTGATTGCATCGGTGAGGGCCTTGTGCTGCTTCATAGCATTGCAGAAAAGCAGAAGAGGTGAGAGGGCGTGCTTGTGAGAGAGAAAAGGGGACTGAAATCCTGCTATAGCTAACCCATTAGCTATAGAACCCATTAGAAATCCTGAAATAGCTAACCCATTCCTGAGAGAAAGGCATTAATGAGAAAGGCCATGACCCAGATACCTCCCACTAGACCCCACCTCCCCACACTGCCACAGTGAGGAATGAAGCCTCCAACAAATGAAGTTGTGGGGAAAAAATCAAACCATAACATGTATGGAAAGCTGCATTATGAATGACAAAAGGGTAATACATTATTTAATTGTATTTTCTCCAGGAAAAGATTTTGGAAATATTAACATGCCATGAAGCACAGAGGTGGTAGGGTGACACAAAAGCTACTGGGCTAAAAAATCACAAGACCTGCTTTCCCCAGGTCTGCCACCAACCAAGCACAGTCTACATAACATCTACTAATGCCTTTCCTGTATTTTAAGTTATATGAGTAATTGCTTTCCTTAATGTTCATTAATCTACGCATGTTTGTGGAGTACTTACTATAGGACAGGCACTGAAAGAGCAGTGGTGAACAAGACAGACATGGCCTTGCCTTCATGAAGTTTATAGACTGGAGAGATCAAGCATTTAACTAAAAAACAAGGAGATGTTTAATTACAAACCATGATGTCATGAAGGCCGAGGGGAGAGAACATTTTGAGAAGGAGGGGATGGCTAACAGTGTCAGAAGATAAAAAGATGTCAAGTAAAACTAAAGGCTGAAAAGCATCCCTCAGGCGAAGCAGAGTGGTCATGGGTGCTACTGGCATGAATAATTTCAGGATATCAGTGAAGGCAAAAACCAGACTGCATTGAAAAATGAATAAGAGGTAAGGGTTAGAGACAGGCAACATGTGATCTTACCACCCAGGAGCAGTTTCCTAATAAGACAGTTTATAATGGACATCGGTTAGAAAGCATTTAGCTACAAGTAAAAAAAAAATCCAATTAACGGTAATTTATTTATTTATTTTTTAAATTATACTTTAAGTTCTAGGGTACATGTGCACAATGTGAAGGTTTGTTACATATGTATACATGTGCCATGTTGGTGTGCTGCACCCATTAACTCGTCATTTACATTACGTATATCTCCTAATGCTATCCCTCCCCCACCCCTCCACCCCACGATAGGCCCTAGTGTGTGATGTTCCCAACCCTGCATCCAAGCGTTCTCATTGTTCAATTCCCACCTATGAGTGAGAACATGCGGTATTTGGTTTTCTGTCCTTGTGATAGTTTGCTCAGAATGGTGGTTTCTGGCGTCATCTATGTCCCTACAAAGGACATGAACTCATCCTTTTTATGGCTGCATAGTATTCCATGATGCATATGTGACACATTTTCTTAATCCAGTCTATCATTGATGGACATTTGGGTTGGTTCCAAGTCTTTGCTATTGTGAATAGAATATTGTGAATATATGTGTGCATGTGTCTTTATAGTAGCATCATTTATAATCCTTTGGGTATATACTCAGTAATG